GGTATTGTCGAGCAGTTTGTTCGTCGTTACACCCACACTCTGCATACAGACGAAAAATCATCACTCGCTGATTAACAGGCACGTAACACGATTCGGATTAAGGGTAACTTGGTGACGGCGGTATATGTTTGGGATCCATTGCCCAGCCAGTGAGCCGATAAATGAATGGCAAGAATTTCACCAATTCTCCTAGTCCAATCTTGACTGGTGTGTGTGTGTGTGTGTGTGTGTGTGTGTGTGTGTGTGTGTGCATTTCGTGATCAGTCTCACGCTACATTGGTGAGGTTAGCGCTCGTTGCCCTTAAACTGCCCTCCGTTAGTGGTTTGCCTTTTACTCCGCAGTCGTATCGGAGTCAGGTTATCGTGTGGGTGGGATAATGAGGTCGGTTCAGCCTCCGCGTCAGAGCGGCCGTCAGACGATGCAGTTTGCAGTCAAGTCACCACTTCACATGCGGCCCGGCAAATGGGACAGAGAAACAACTGACACATCTTACGCACAGTCTCATGGACGCTTGCGCTCCTACACAGCTTGCCGATTGCACGGGTGCAGTTTAGAGCGAACGCGTCGGGTTTCCTTCAGGCGCTCACTGATGCAGCAAACATGGATGTCGCTGAACGTATACTCTCAGACTGCCTGTGATATTCTGCCATCCTATTGCGCAGTTCTCTCCCTATTTGACCTATGTGCCCTTGCGCATAGCCCCGTAACTATTTTATGGAGCTAGTTGGTCGTCTTATCTTTTATTAGTGGATCATCCAAACGCACCTGTGCTGAACGAACCGTGTAACCTTGCTCGCGGACCTAGGAGCCATAGTGGTCAGGGCGTCAACCTTTGAACACTATACCTCGAGGTCCACCCCAGCTCAGGGTATCTCCATCTGATGAGTCCAAAGGAGGACGAAACCGGTCATGGGGTCTCAGGGTTGGGAGGAGCAACACCGAACCACCAAACCGTGTAACCTCTTTGGAAACCATCCTTGTCTTCTCCCTGTTTCGTTCTCCCTGCTCGCTACAGAAGTTTTTCTTTGTGAATGATATTCACCGTCTCAATGCACTCCGTTGCACGTCATGTAGGTGGGTTTGGCACTTACTGCAATTGATGTTTCACTATCCGCCTTGGATATCGACTAGCTATTAGTCTATTTTACTTCCACTTTCCATGCGGTCAGCCCGTCCTCTTCCTCGGTGCACCGAATCTGGGCTCTACGAGACAAATAATATGCGATTGCATCACTGACGTGTTTTGAAGGACCTGAACTATAATGGAGTACTCCATTCATATTTGCCGGTGTGCAGGATATCGGGTATTCTAGCCTTCCCCCCATTCCTTGGAACTAGATGAGCGAGGGATGGCAGGGTAACACTCCAAGATTCTAGGTTCATTATATATATATATATATATATATATATATATATATATATATATCAGGTTTAGATTTGCAACAGTCTACGAACAGGCATGGAGAAAGCAAAAACCATGAAACTCAATTAAAGGCGGGTTTCCTTAAAAAACAACACGACACGGAGGAGTCCGTGGTTTCGTCAGAGGGCGAGGTGAAACCCGGATACCCAAGCCGAAGTAAGTTGCCGAAGTAGGGGATACGACCCTGAGCGTTTGACCGAGTGGCCTTCCCGGTAGGCAGCGGAGCGAATTCAAAGAATCGTGCACTTTGGGAGCTGTTGACTGATTGTCCAGTTCATAGTCCTTTCGTTTTTTGTTTGCCAAAGTGGGGCCATTGCTTCCCACAATTTTAGCACTGAATTTCTGGAATAAAATGCTTCGCCAGTATGAAGCATGTGGCAGTGACTTTATTCAGTGGCGAGTCACATCCGCCACGTCGCAGTGTTGATAAGCAGACATTTATGGCTTTTTATAGGGAGAACACTTGCCAGGCGAAAACCCACCACGTCCTGGAACACTGCCGCCGAACGATTTGCTCGAACGGGATAATTCCGAACTACCCAGCTGGCTCTACGAGGAGGTTGTTCGGCAAGCCATAGTAAAGTTTGTGTTCTCATTAATGGAGTTCATATAGTTTAAGATCTTCCTTCCTTATCCCGCTTAATAATAACAAAGGTATCATCTAGTAGCTCGAACAAATCACTGGTCAGCTACTGGAGTTTATCAACATGCTCCCTTCAAAGCAAGTAACAGGGAGAGTTATTGAGGTTCTGGGAAGATTCCTCGCAGCTAGACTCAGGCAGACAGTCTGGATGTGTGGTGGCTGTCTGCCTGAGACTACTTGCGACGAATGGTTACAAACGTTTCCATATATAGATTTGCCAATACAGCAAGGCCCTTTTCCTGAGCGTACAACCTCGGTTAGTAGGTGAAATACGACATAATTTGGCGTGCCTTAAGAAAGTAGAGAATATACTATTTATTTAGGTATTTTGTTTATTTACATACTAAAGCATGCTTTCATTCCTTCGTTTGTTTGGTCTACGGTATCTTTCGTTCTTGCCCCCAGGCGGCTGGTCTCGGTCAGACAGCGCTGTGCTACCCCAACGCGTCACCCTTTGGCATGTTCATAATTAGTGAGCCAACGCCGAAGCTGATCATTTTTCCATCCGACTCAGTGGGCAAATCTGCCCCCTTTCGCACGAACTCACAAAAATACTTTATGATAGTATTAAATTTCCCTGTTTGGGGCTTCAACATACCTGCCAGATATTTAGCTAGTTCGTGGGTGGGAGAACGGATTTCATTCACAATGGGTCGAATGGAAAGGTTAGGCTTATGTATCTTTGGTAGGAAATGGATCCTCGACGAGGGATTGATTACGGGTATGTATTGTACCATTTACTCGTCCCAAAGAAATCTTGCACACTCCTCACATAATTTCTAACCTCCACCTTTTTCTTATGCACTACTGACAATACTGTTTTCTTCTCAGTCCCTTTATAGGGTCTTGCTATTAAATGCCCCTCCATTTTCTTCATAATTCGACTTCTCTATTACTACTATTGTCTTGTGTTTATCGGCCTTTTCGATGATAATGACAGGGTATTCTTTTAAGGCTGTTAATGTGGTACGCTCTGCTGTCGTAAGAGTTTACTCCCCAGGCTGTTGGAATCGGATTATATCTGCTAACTGTATACGAATATTCTCATCATTTGAAACAGGTACATGCATCATCACAATCGCAATAGTAAGAATGACTACTGCGGTTATCCACTTTATTCACACAAAATGTTGGACCCTTTTTCAGTAATCTATATTCGGTTGCACTCAACACCGTATCTGCCATTAACTACATTGTCATAGTTCCTGTAGAATTCGGACCTATCAGTGAGACCGGTGGCGTTGATATGTACAGATCTGAACAATGGTGTTTGCTTACGAATGAGGTTTTTGTTTCTTCTCTGGTGCACAAACAGCGAGGAACTCACTGTGGTGTACAGGAACATCAGCTATGATCGAATCCGTCGGTTTTGTCTCGTTTTATCCGTCTCTTGTACCTGTCTGTTCACTCTGACGTGTGATTCCTATTACCTCAGGTACCGATGGGTGTGACTGCAAACTGGTGTACAAAGGTTGGTTAGCTTCAAAGGCATCCGAAGCTGGATTATTGTGCGAACACCAACCCTAGGCCAACAAGCTGCAGACTAGAGGCTGGAACCACTGCATAGCGGATTCACTTAATCCCCTACACCTCCCGCCATAATTCTTTAGAAGTGGCGCAGGGCGTCCGTAGGTACCTCCCAGGATAGATTAGTGGATAAGGAAAACATGAAAACAGTCGACCAACGCTAAGCTTCACTTTATTGGTTCGGAGACATACTGCTGGTTTAGAAGTGATCATTTGAGTTGCTCAGAACCCCTATATGTGTACACGCCAGCTAGGAACATCTGCTGCCTATTCATGAATAAGCATGAGTAGTGGGGATTTCAAGTGTTTTTCGGATATGATTCATCCCAGTCACCACTCAGCCAGGCAGGCTCCCACATGATGGGCAAAGTACCAGACGGTTGTTCCGACCTTCTGGGTCTCAGCAGTGGTGCGCAAGTCATATTATTTGGGATTACGGGCTGTGCACACTGCTTTTCCAGCGCATTGCGCATTATTTCTTCCCACGTTGCCTTTACAGCTGAACAACGTCTAAGCGCCAGTGCGGCTGCGCTGAGGCGGGCACAGTTACTAACTGAGACCGCCGACAGACAGCTGGAATACAGCAAACAGTTAGGAGCGATTGCAAGTCCGCTGACATTGTGGCGATTGGATGCAAGTAAGGCTGTATGGGAAGCGCAACGTGCTTTGAAACAAGCCGAGAAAAAGCACCTCGAGATAAAAGAAATGACGACACTGTACAACGCCTTACCTGCAACTGTCCCAAGGAAAACGAGTGATGTAACTCTTCCAGATGACGATCAGTTGGAACAGAAGCGTCCCCAGAATACAGAAGTTCTGCCCATCTCGAGGGGTTCGGTACCATCCAAAAAGTCATCTACAACGGAACCCGAGACTCAAGAGGACTCTTCTGGTTTGGCCAAAGACTTGCAGTCACCCGAAACCAGCGAGCGGAAACAGAGAAGACAACAACCAATCAAGATGTGGCCGAAGCACACGTAAGTATCGGCGCTAGTTTTGTAACTGTTCGTGTTTTGCTTTGATCGGTCCGGCCCGTGGCCGAAAGAATTACATGCATGTCTTCTAATCCGAGAGCCCGGCTTCGAGTCTGTGTAAGGGACAGTGCGACGATCGCAGTCTCCTTAGCCCACGCGCGACTGCTGGAGGCTAGGCGGCAGCGAAACGTCGGTAAGGTGTACCGATCAAGTACTTGGCAGTTACACGCACAATTTCGAACAAATACTGGTTCTTGTAATACTGTGTATTACTTAACCTAGTAAGCTACATTTATGTCGGAAAGTCGAGTCGTGGCACCTATTTGCAGACGGCAGAGAGTACAGTCTGATAGCATCGATGTTCAAGTCTGTGTGTTTTATAGACGTAGGTGGTGCAGAAATTCTATCTACATGACTTATTTAATTCATTGAGTTCTGTTTTGATTTTATTAAGTTATTAACTTTCTGCTGAGAGAGTGAAGGCGCTTCAATACGTCTAACATATTAGCCTACATAGAACGAAGCAGGTTTATTTGAAAAATGGACACACATTGAGTATATAATATTAACGCATTATTATATCCGCTTTATTGCCGCAACAAGCAATCTTTTAACAATTACCTTTTTTATGAACTTAACATGTTTGCTGCGCTACAATAGGTTGCTTTTGACAAATTGTGTTAGCGTAAAGTAGCAATAATGGTGATACCAAAATTAATAACAGGTATATTTCTCCTCAAGTTAGAATTTGTGCTCATATTTGGTATACATATTGCATATATACTGGTACTATCATGCTCATACATGGATAAGACAAGAATACGCTACAATATTTGTTGGAGTTTCTGGCACGGCAAATTTCCCATATATTTGTTTTTATACAACGGCAGGAGGCATTTTTTGTATTTTGCGTATATTGCAAAAACTGTGAGCTAATTACATTGCGTGAAGTTGTCTTATTATACCAGCTGGAAATTATCTGCGCTTTCATTGAAGATATCGAGCGAAATGACTTAATGGTTTCCAAGTCGAGGTAGCCAGCGATCTTGCTGCGAAATGTTCACAGAGTCTTACACGGCATGGTTGTGATTGGGATCCGATTCCACAGCTGAGTACCGTTAGTTATAAAAAAGTTAAACCGCAACTTTATCGTGCATCGTGATTTAACCATGGTAAAGTCTGTGTTACGAAGGTCCCGCGTAGAATTGATGGTTGATATCAATTACAAACAAAGTGAACTGCTTGACAAAAAATTGTTAGACTGAGACAAAAATGGTCTTAAAACACTTACTTGGATGACACCGCTAGTGGTCATCGCTGCAGTAGTTCGACGATATTTTACTCTCGCTAACCATTAGGTCCATGAAGGGAGCGCGTTACCCTACTTAATGGCGGGGGAGTATATGCTATCGACGCACGCGATAGGGGTTTTACACGTCACTGTACAACGTAACGACAACATTATAAGGATCAACTAATAGTGCAGCTGTGCAAGGGAAGTCTAATTGACATGTAGCGTACTGTAGACTGTGAGCAGAGATTTGCTTGTGCGAAGTCCTGATCAGTTAATGCAGCACGCTTTCCTCCTACACACTTGCAAAAAGGGAAGTGTGTCTAATTCCTCTACAACAATTCACTTCATGTATTGACCATTCTCGGTAGTGAAAATATTCGAATAGCTGTAAACTACTCTATGAAAATATAAAATTTGAATAACCACTGTAAAAGAATTGAAATTTCCCACTGATGTAACTGATTGCGATCGCGTGCATAAGAGCAGATCGATAAGCAAGGACGATCTGTTGGTGGATGTAAGTGAGCGATGAATATGCAATATAGCACATCCGCAAAGCTACATAAAAGGTCCAAATTTTGCAGATTGCATAAATTTTGCAAAGATTGTCCAAAATGCTACAAAACCCTGCGCGATTCGCCAGCCGCTCAGAGCCAATCCTCTGACCTTAAGTGTGTTCTCATTGGCCGGATGCCAATGTTCGGTGTGCCAGTCTGGGGAGGTGAGTGCGCTGTCCGTTGACTGGGTGAGACTTGTGAATGAACCTTAGAGACATGCACTTCGTCGGTGCAACGGGATTGTATGCGCAACCCTCACGTCCGAAACGCTGGATCACAATTGGTCTGAGAGCAATGAACAGCTGGAACATAAGCGAACGACCGAAACCATGTCTGTGCTACTAACGTCGTCGGCATGCGTTCTCGCGTTCGACAGAGTATCTCATCAGACATTTGTGACCGAGTTTTGGGCGCCTTCGTCAACGGTGATGACAGACAGCTGGTGTCAACTGTGAACAACGTCAAATACCAAACAGCCTGCTCCTGGATTCCTCGTTATCTTGATCAGGAGCCGAGTATTACGCAGGCGCGCGGTCGTAAAGGGATTCTGTCAAAGGAAGACGTAGATGACATCCTGGATTGGATCTCAAAGGACACAAGTCTTACGCTACGGGAAATGCGAGTACGAGTACGAGCAGAAATGGACAAGGACATTTCGAAGTCGACAATCGCACGGCACCTGGATGGTCGATTGATAACTATGAAGAACATTTATCAGGTTCCCGTGGGAATGAACAATGCGCGAACCAAAGGGATACGCATGGAATTCTTTCAGTAGTTTTTGCAACTTGAGAGCGATGGCGAGTTCTTCATTCGGATTGACGAAGCGGACTTCAACGTTTACTGCAAACGTACTCGTGGTCGGGCGCCCAGAGGAATGAGGGCCTATTGCAAAGTTGCCAACAGTAGAGGCCTCAATTTGCATTTGATCGGTGCACTCACAATGGAAGAGAAAGTGTCGATGATCACCCGGAGAGGCTCATTCACAGGTCCCCTATCTCTCGAATGGCTGCGAAGCGATTTAGACAATCTGAAACGGGAGATGGAGCTCCGGCAAGTTGTTGTGGTATGTGATAATGCACTGTCACACACGATTGGAAGAACTGTCCTCAGTAGGTGGATACGAATGAGTAACCATCCTGAGATTGAGCCCATACTCTTCGTTCCTCAATCCGATCGAGAATGTTTGGCAGATGGTGAAGGTGAAAGTGAATGTTGTGATGAGAGCGCACTGCCATGAACTTCTGGCCGGGGATCCCCAGAAACTCATGACGCAGAGGGAATGGGACTGCAGTTCCTTGAACCCATGCCCGGAGCAGCCACCCAGGATAGCAGTGTTGTGGGATATCGTAATGCTATTCGACATATGCGTCTACATTTTCCTACTTGTCTAGAAAAGATGACATGTTTTGATTACGTTACTGGCCTACTTTTTACGTAGCTGGTTGTATAGCACCTCACTGGCAGCGCGTAGGGACGTGTGAGTATTCACGGTGTTCTCAAAATATGTATGCACATATGTACGTTTGTATGTTCGTACGGCGGTTGAAAGGATATCTGGTGGCGGAGTGATCTGCACGCCTGGCTTGCAATCATAAGGTCACCGGTTCGAATCTATTTTCCTGGCCTGCTTTGTCATCCTGCATGTCTTCTCGGTGCCCACCCAGTGTCTGAAAACCCCGTCCGTCGAAAAATTTGACTATCCCGTGGACTAAGTGTTTCACTGAGCCAATACCGTGGACAGGATTATCAAGTGTCACGATAACTGATCATCGCTTGAATCCTGGTGCCATTTGTGACAAATGTCATTGTCTGTCGTGCAAGTGCGAACTACTGCCAAGTAGCCGGATTATGTACGGCACATATATCTCTCAACACGACTTGGGTGCGCAAAATCCGTTACTTCAACTTTTATAGCGCTTGTCGAAATGATTCTACGTTGTTAAACGTGGTACTGACAGAACATCAGATACAGACAAGCGGAATTTTAAAGTCATTACTGCCATCTATCTGAGCTCAAGAAATGTAGCTTGCGAATGCGCGAATTCCTCACAATTGGGATTTTAAAACTGCAGCCGTGCGAACATCGGAACGCTATAAACTACCCACTGTGCAGATATCTTCAGCGCACAAGGATACGTAAGTAATAATACTTCCGTTCACATTCCCTATGTAGTGCATTCCCTAGCTCGCACCCTTGATTCTTGGGTTCACTGTGAATATGTTGTTCCATTTACGCGAGTACCGACAATTGTCCGCACCGCACACAGGACACAGTGTCTCCACTAGCGACGTGTGCAGTTTTGTCATTATTTCGGTTGCAACATTTGACCGTAGTTTAGCCCGGCCAGCGGTGGACAACTTGACTGAGTGTTAGTCTGGACTGGCTCAACATGGGGGGGATTCAACTACAAAACTCCAATCTGGAGCGTTACTTCCATCGACATCATTATTACAGTTGCAACAGTTGAACTCAACTTAGTTCGGCCAGTCACATCGCTCACATACCGGTGGCCTTTAGGACATTCCGGTTGGTAATCTGTGGCACCTTCTTTGTGCGACGCCCTCCACCCAGTCCGTTGACAAGTGTAATCATGCGAATCGCCATGACCAAGACTGGTTAGAAAGATTTTCAAGGGAAGGTTAGACCATGTAAATGAAATTGGCTTGAAACTACGCAGTGTATTGGGGCCCGACACGAAGTAAAGTGAACGATCTTGAGCCAGTACAGACTAACACTCAGTCAAGTTGTCCACCGCTGGCCGGGCAAAGCTGCGGGCAAATGTTGCAACTGAAATAATGACAAAACTGCACACGTCGCTACTGGAGACAATGTGTGACGACAATGTGACGACAGTTCTTCCAATCGTGTGTGACAGTGCATTATCACATACCACAACAACTTGCCGGAGCTCCATCTCCCGTTTCAGATTGTCTAAATCGCTTCGCAGCCATTCGAGAGATAGGGGACCTGTGAATGAGCCTCTCCGGGTGATCATCGACACTTTCTCTTCCATTGTGAGTGCACCGATCAAATGCAAATTGAGGCCTCTACTGTTGGCAACTTTGCAATAGGCCCTCATTCCTCTGGGCGCTCGACCACGAGTACGTTTGCAGTAAACGTTGAAGTCCGCTTCGTCAATCCGAATGAA